ACTCCATTAGATATTAGAAAGGGCTCAGAAAGTGCATCACCATATCTGACTTGGCCACGCTGATCCTCGTGGAGTGAGATAATCATTTTAAGGAACTTGGGGGGACATCCTAAACGTTCCAAAATCTGCCACAGACCTTTTCTGCTCACAGTATCAAAAGCCTTGGTGAGATCAACAAAGGTTACGTAGAGACCTTTTTTCTGTTCCCTACACTTCTCTTGCAGTTTTCTGAGAACAAATACCATGTCTGTGGTACTTCTGTTGGCTCTGAAACCACACTGGCTTTCAGGTAGAATTCCTTCTGCTATAGCGGGTATTAGTCTGTTCGAGAGTATTCTTGCCAGGATTTTGCCAGCAATGGAGAGCTGAGTAATACCACGGTAATTTAAAGAGTCTGATTTAACTCCTTTCTTCTTATACAAAGTGATGATGACTGCATCACGAAGGTCTGATGGTAGTTCACAAAGTTCCCAACAGCGTAGTAAGAACTCGTGAAATTTAGCATGGTGTGCTTGGCCCCCATGTTTCCAGATTTCAGGTGGAATTCCATCAACCCCAGCTGCTTTGCCAATTTTCACCTGCTGTATGGCCTTAAGAGTTTCTCCCAAAGTGGGGGCAATATCCAGTTCATTCTTCACCAGTTGTTGTGAGATGGACTGAATTGCTGAGTCTTGAATTACACGGTTGGTACTGAAGAGAGTCTGAAAGTGTTCAGACCATCGATTCAGAATGGAGGTTTTATCTGTCAGAAGCGTTTGACCATCAGTACTGAGTAGAGGGTTTTGGACCTGGTATGTAGGTCCATATGCTGTTTTCAGGGCCTCATAGAATCCTCTGTGATCACCCATATCTGCGCAAAATTGAGTTTTTTCAGCTAGGTTGATCCACCACTTGTTCTGGATGTCACAGAGTTTCTGTTGGAGCTTGCTGCATGGAAGACAAAAGGTTGCTTTTCTTACGTGGCAGGAAGGCAGTGCAAGGTGTGCTTGATGAGCAGTTCTCTTCTTCCTCAACAATTCCTGGATCTCTTGACTGTTTTCATCAAACCAGTCCTTGTTCTTCTTGAAGGAGAACCCGAAGGATTCTTCAGAGGACTGCTGGATGCTGTTTTTAATATGGTACCGAAGTGCTTCAGGAGAGGGATCTATAGAATCTAGAGAATGATTTTCGAGCCCAGTTTGAAGATTTGCCTGGAACCTGTCTGTCACTGTGGCTGATTGGAGATTGTTAACTTGGAGTCTCCTCCTTGGGATACTGCCCCTTTTAGGTTTGAATTTAAGACTGAAGTTGAGTTTACTGTGCACAAGTAACTGAAAATAATATTCCTGTAATTAGCATAAGCGTATCTAACTGCAGAACAGGGAGAAGGGTTAATGAGACAGTTGCTGACTGTGAGGTAGTCCCTGCTGTTAGGAGTGTCAGGTCACCAGGTCTTATGGAATATAAAGATTTCCTCCTTTAATCTCTTTTGTTCCTTTATGAATAGATTAAAATGATCTAATTGTTATTGAGCAGAACTAATCTAATAAAGATGTAATATCTGTACTTCCCCTATTTTATCAATTAGCAATATGTTCCATGTACTGCTAAATAACAATGTATTTGAGAATATTTCAAAGACTATTTTTCTTACTTTCTCATCATTCGTTACCCCATATGTGCTGCATTAAGATCCTGTGAAAAACTGTGTTCTAGACAAGAATTTTACAAAGTTGCTGCCTATTTCTTTGTTTTAAACACTGTAACTCTGATGCATAAATGTGCAATTTTTGTTAGGTGGTGTGTATATGTGGATAAATCATCTTTTTCTTATCTTCTTGACCATAATAGGCTAATTTATTAGTTTTAAACAGTTTACAATAATCATTGACTTCCTTGCTTTTTCTCAGAGAATACTTGTTTGGTATATTAATTTATTCGTTTGCAAAAAGTGACTGTTGTAATGTCTGTTGCAATGTTTCTCTGCTGATGATATTCTATTCACTTTAATGTAAGTTATTTGAGATTTAAGCTTATCTTGCAGAAAAATAGTAGGGTAAAGGAAAATGAGTACATCTTGCTCTATGCAGAGCTTGAAGATCCTCTTAAGCAGTTCCTAGCCTGTATACTAGTTCTCTTTACCAGCTCTTAGTGCCAGAAGTCCAAAGGATGTGCTAGAAGCATCAGCAAACAACAAATCAAAGGCCAACAATTCAGCTCAGACGGCATACTAAGAAATGAGAAATGTCACTCTTGTCATAACAATTTGAGCTAGCAGTGCACCAGGAATGTTTTCACTTGACCAAAATTCAGTGGCATAGGGCCAAATAGAGGCAATATTAGAATCTCTCCTATAAATGTTAAATTTTAACTTCAGTTGTCTTCAATTTTCAGTTGAATAATACCACTGATTATTGCATATCTTAAGGACAAAGCTGCCTCATTGAAAACTGTATGTTCTTAAACCATAATGTTCATAACCTTATTTTATATAAATATGTTGGAACAATAAGTCCTTCTCTCTGTTTATGTTGATGATCATATGTAATCATTCTTATGCTACAGTCTTAATCCTGAGTTTCTGTGCCACACATTCAGACTAAATATTGGTCTGGTGTCTTTGTGAACACTGCCTTCTGCATCTTTCTAGTTCTAGTCTCTGAAATCCTAGGCAGTTGAAATATTTTTTGTCATTTGTGGATCTGACATTCACTTTATCACTTCAGTGTTTCCAGCTGTTGTGGAGGCTCAGTCCTGTTTAAGGTAGTTAAGAATTAAAGCATCAACCCTGATGTTGCTAAAGGGTGGGTCTTGTTTCTGTCTAAAACAGCACAGCTAAGAGCTCTGATAACCTGGCACCATAGATCCTCTTGCTAAACAAGTTATTCTTGACTCTTGAGTTTGTGCATAGTATGGTCAGTGGCAGCAGGTTTTTCTTCTACCTGTGGTCTGAGAACATCAGCCTTCAGTAGTCTCACTGGCTTGCTACTGGCAGATGAAGTAAGGATTGAGTGTAACCTAACAAGATGATCTCCTGTGCAAGAGGGTTATCAGGAAAATAGATAACATGAAAGCACAAGACTGATTCTTGTTGATGCTGAGGACTTTTCAGACTGCTGCATTCTATGCTGGTAGTTGTTTCTACTTTCATGTGCTTCCTAGAATACTGAGGGCACTGGAATGGCTGAAAGATGGGTTTACTTTCCCCTCAAAAATAAATAACCTGCTCTTTCAGTGAGAGAGAGGCTTTGTAGTGTGTCATCAGGGAGGTTGAGTTCATGTCTCTACTGCTCTGACCTATTTTCACAGTTGAAATATCTCCTAGTTTTGTTTCCAAGAGGTTAGGTGAAATCAATGTGTTCTTTATGAACAGACAGCTCAAGCACTTGGGCTGTGGGCAGAGGTGTGGATTTTAGTAGCTGGGCCAGATGGGTACTCAGCACACACGTAGCTTGGCATTCCATGCCTCCATCTCCTCTTGACTCCAGAGACTTAAATCATGGTAGGTTATGAAACACTTGAAACCTGTATCCCATGAAAGTGAGCTCTGATGGGAAGGGTAGGATTTACTGTCTTAAGTATGTGAGGGGATGATGTTAACCCTAACTGCAGATTATAAGCTCCTGGAAATTTTGTGTTAGGAGTTCTTCTGGCATCTGCTTTGCTACAAAGTGCCCTCAACAGGGAAGGCCTTCCTTCCTCACCGCTACCCTCTGGTTGCTCTTACTTTCCTGAAGTTACCAGATTGCTCTGAAGTCTCTGAAGATGGTGAAGGGCCTAGAGGGGAAGCCACACAAGGAGTGGCTGAGGTCAGTGGCCTCAGTTTGGAGGAGACTGAGGGAAGACCTCATAGTGGTCTACAGCTTCCTCATGAGGAGAAGTGGAGGGACAGGCACTGGTCTCTTCTCTGACCAGTGACAGAACCTGAGGGAGTGGCCTGAAGCTGTGTCAAGGGACATTTAGGTTGGATATTAGGAAAAGGTTCCTCCAGAGGGTGTTTGGGGACTGGAGCAGGCTTCCCAGGGAAGTGGTTACGGCACCAAGCCTGCCAGAGTTTAGGAAGTATTTGGACAATGCTCTCGGACTCAGTGGGATTCTTGAGGTTGTCCTGTGCAAGGCCAGGACAATGATCCTTATGGGTCCCTTCCAGCTCGGGATATTTTATGATGATTCTGTGATTCGAAGTCTAAAGTAGCAGGTTCTTCCTTTGTGAAATAATTTTCCATTTTCATTTCTGGCATAAGGAACAGAAGTGGTTATTCGTGTAAGACTTTATTCTACTTTAAGTTACTGGAGAGGGAGAAGATGGTTTATTTCAACCTCTTGAATAGTACCTCTCTGCAAGCTCTTTAGACACTTAGAGTAGTAAGAAGAAGAAGGAAACTTAAGTTTGGGTTGAGGAAAAAAAACAACCTACGCTTGGCTATATACAAATGAAGTGTGGGGCTTGTTTATTTCTATCTAATGGGGTTTTATTTATTTAGAATCTTTAGTGTTTACGTACAGGCTGCATGTTTGCTACAGACAGGATAATTATGAAGTTTAACACTAATACTCTTTGTTTTATGAAAAAGCTGTAAATACTCTGTACTTATCAAACAGCAACAAAAAATCTCCAGTGATCAGATTGAACACACAGGAACTATAGATCATCTCCCTTCCAGATGAGAGCAGATTGGGTATGATATAGAATCAATTAACCACAGTAATTCCAGGGATGTTACTTGCCTGATAGGGTCAATCTGCTATTTAGTCTTTCTTCATAAGTTGCTTCCTGGATAGCAGCAAGTACTTATGCAGTTAGTTGATTTCCAGTTATCAGTTGTTTGTATTGGTTGAATTCTTAAAGCATTGCAGAGGAATGAAGTCCCTATTTTAGCAGCTGGTGTCTGTTAGAATCAGCAGGAGCAAGCTGTGTAACTGGTGAATTAGATGTCTGCCCACGGGGCTGTATCAGCAGCCTGTGACAGTACTGAAGAGGAAAATGAATTTAACACGCGCGTTGCCTCAATTTTTTTCAGACGCTGGCCAGAAGAAGACCCCAGACAAGAAAGATGGGCGACGAATGTCTATTCAAAAGCCTAGAGGGACTCTTGAATATTCTGTAAGTCACTGATTTTTATTGTTAGAATGTTATTTCAAAGCAAGTGCAGACTAAAAAGTTTCCTTACAAAATATAAGCAAAACTGTAATGTTCGTTATCTTTAATCTTGGAATTCTGTGCATCTGATAGTTTAGTTTGACAGAAATTAAATTAGGGAATTAGCTAGTAGTACTTGAGGAGTAATGCTATTTTTTCCCTTTAAATGCCTTTTTTTTCCCTTAAAAATCCCAAACTAATCAGTCTGTTGACTGGTTCACTTTTAGGGAACTAGTTGGAAACAATAAATAACAATAGTTACATAATCATGTGCAAGTTCTCTGCTTTCAGCATTGTTATAAGCTGTTGCTGCCAGGAGAAATAACAGAGTTAAGTTTGGAAGGGAAGCTATATCTTGATACTGACCTTCTGGTGGTCTCCTAATGATTTCCCTAGATCTATACCTTTTACTGTATAACTCTGTTTCTGCATCAGTATCTGAAAATGGAGCCATGTTCTGTTCTTGAAATGACCCTCAAACTGTGCTGCAGTCAGCTTTTCACATTTGTGGTTACTAAGGGAAACAGAAGTGAGAAGTATCTGTCTTGTGTTATATACGGGAAATATAATTAAGCCTATAAATAATGCTTATAGAATTGATGTTAAAATAGGGAAAGTGTCACAGTTGTCTTTGAACGCTTTTGAAGCTGGACATGATAAATAAAAATGAGAACTTTTTTATAAAAGGTCTTTACTTGACCTCTTGATGTTCTCTTATTCCAGGAGTAAGAGATGGGGGAGATGGAAGAACTTAACTCTTAATGTTCTATTAAGCCAACCTGTGATACTGCTTAAATACTGAGAAGGCTGTGATAGTCATTTGAAGAGACAGTATGTGTGTATTGGGAGCAAGAAGCACTTCATTAGTGTGGCTTTTATTAGAATTTGAATATAATTCCAGCTTATACTAAAGGCTTCCTTGAAGTTTAAATTCAAAACAGAAATTCCTGCTGCTTGGGTTCTAGCAGCTGAAGAATGTTAATATAAAGGTGACTGTTTCTATTACATTAACTCCATTATGTCTGAAATAATAGGAAAAAAGGGTTAGTTGTAGGTCTATATTACTGGCATTCATACTCAAATCCCTTAACTTGGCTCTTGCCACTATGTGCATGCTTTTACTTTGGTATATAAGATTCCAGGCAAAGTTAAAGCAACAAGCTTTCCTTTTCTTAACCTAGTATGTTTGTGTCAAGTTGTCATATACTTCTGCAGGTTTCTGTGTTCCAGTGGGTGGGGTTTTAGAGCCCGAAATAGCTTTCTTAGTACATCCTGAAGGATGCATCACTTCCTTGTGAGTCAAAAAGATGATTCACAAGAATCAAAGCTTTTTGTCATTAAACTTAGTCCAGCTTCTAAAGGAGCCTGTTGCATATATGGAACATGGTGCATTTCAGCTTCACAAATGCTCTATTCTGATGGCTCTTGCAGTACATTTCACTCATGAAGCTCATGAAGTGCTTCAGTAACATCAAGTTTTTGGAGCTTTTGGTTGAATGTTGGGCACATGTATTTTAATAAAATACACAGATCTAACCTCTAGATACTGAGCTTATGTTCACTACGAGAGATCTGGCAACTATTGTGTTAATTTGCTACTGTTGTTATTTATGACTTTATTCTATGTGGAGAGATGCACTTACTTATGTCTGGTTTCTGGCTTAATCCTACTGCCTCTGACTGTGACAACACACACATGTATTAATCTACCTGCCTGTGTTGCTTCTTTGAGAAGTAGTAGAAGGATGAAGGCAAAAACCAGATTCCCCTTCACCTCCCAGTATTGTTGAAAAGTTAGTGGGCTTTTTTTCCTTTATTAAAATATAATTTAATGTGTTAGTTTTTCCAGTGGCTACATGGTTTTAGAAAGGAAGGTCTTGTATTCCTGAAATTTGGAGTGAGATGATATTTTGCTCATGCAAACTATGGGTTTTTAATGTGGACTTCACATGAGACTTTTTTAAAAAAGAAAATAGTTACTATGGGGATAAATAAACAATAAAATATATTTTCACTTAAAAGCTAAAACCAAAAAGCAATTAATGTTTAAGATTCTCATCTAAAATTCCCAAAATGTAAAAACTTGAAACTACTGTTCTGTATGTTACACCAGAGAGAATATATCAGCAGATATGGTACTGATTGAAAACAGATATGGTAGTAATTGAAGGAAGTAAGTCCTAAACTGCCTCTAAAAGATACAGAAAACTGGTTTGTTTTTGCTGATATTGCTTAGACAGTGAACAGATATTTTTTTTTAAAGTTCATATAATTTCTCCTTCTCTAAATGTCAGTTGACAGATTAGATGCAAATTGATATTATCTGTTATTTCAGAATTCACAGTTGGTGCTTTCAGCACACAGCTGATGAATGTGAACAGGCTCAGAGAACCAACAGAGCAAATAGTTCAGGTGAATTATTGTTACTAGCTAGAACTTTCTTGAGTCCTTTTTTGGATTCTGGAAGTAGCATCTTTACATTGCTTAACTGACATAACTTCATTACCTTAACATTGCATTGGAAGCCTTTTGCGTTACATGTACAAACATAAGCAGTGCCTACCTGCAGGTGTTAGAAGAGCCAACTACAGATAAATGGAGCATAAACAGACAGTGCTGGCCACTGATCACCAGTGATTGTAGCATGCTAGTAGTTTTATGACTTCAAGGAAAGACTTATCACTGATCTTCCTTTTGAGAAGAAAGAAATAACTGAGGTTCTGTTTTCCCGATGTTGTATACTATATACATTAGTCCTATTAACAATTAGTTGATATAGTGATAATCCAGTATTTTTAAAGGCTTGGATACAACACCAAAGTGGTGGTGTCTGCTCCCCTGTGTCTCCACCCTTCATTCTAGTCTTCCCATCTATTTAATTTTGTTAGTTCATTTTAATACTCTTAAACTATTGTTTTGTTGTTTTCTGGTTGTTGGACATCTAGTCTTGAAATAAGAAAATAGTAAAATTCTTTCTACACTCTGATTCATATATATTTGATGTATAATTTTTAATGGAAGAATAAGTGAATTCCAAGCATTGAGATGCAATGACAGTCAAGTTCATTAAAATATCAGTAGAGAATTAGGTTTTAAATAACTTTGCCAACTGTTAAGTTGAGGGAAATGAAGGCAGTTTGAACCATAGCTAATGGTGACTGAAGCTCTGTCTAATGGTACACACATGGGCAAACATGGGTACATAAGTAGTGCTCTGTAAATGGAAAAGGGGTAGTGAGATGCACCTCTGCTCAAATAGGGACAGAATGATTTGAAGAGAATGTTTGATTAGGGATTTTATTGGAAAAGGAAAATGAAAGGTAAGGATTTTAAGTGGCTCTTTCTGTATCTAGTAAAATCCATAAAAAACTGATTTTGATGAACTTAGAATTTTAAACTTATTTATATTTATATGTAAGTGACAACATAAGGTCAAAGTAACAGGAAAATAAGATATTATGTGTTTTACCTCTGTGTAAGAGTTGATGACAAGAAGGTTTTGCTATTGAGGAAAGCTACTTATATTTTTAAGGAACCTTTTCAACAAAAGTTATTGTGCAAAGCAGAGTGTGTGAATCTATGCAGTGCTGAATGAGCAATCCTTGTTTTCTTTTAACACTTCTATTAATTAGTGTCTTTCAGTCTTTATACTGAAGCAAGCAAAACCAGTGCATGATATGTATTGAACCACTTCAAGGCACCAGCTGGCCTCCTCAGGTCCATTTTTGACTGTTATAGGGAATAAAACTGTTTACATGTCTAGTGGGTCTCCTTTCTCCAGCAGTGTACTTGTATTGGAACAAATCTTGCCATTCTGTTAATCACAAAACAATGCAGTCACTGTTCATCATTCCCTTCTCTTATCAAAGAAGATGCAGCATCGTGCCTTAATATCCAAATATTTATATAAGATTCTTAATATTCAGAATAGCATTTAGATGGCTACCTCATAATGTATAGAAATTTTGCTTTCTGAGAGAGAAGGAATGACTTTTTGCCCTGTCTTCCAGTATTGAATTGGTGGGGAAAAAAATTGTTAGAAAAGCTGAGGACTGACTGTGGTATGTGGTGGCACTTTTTCAGTTTGTTATTCTATGCTTTTGTCTGTTCAGATTCTGTTTATTAAAATAGTAGACAGCCTAAGAATTGGTAAGTAGGCCTTTGAATCTAGGGAGATACTTCAGGAAGTCTCTATTACATGAACAATGTCTTTGTTTTAAGAAGGTATCAGTGCTGGTCTTTGAAATCTCATGCAAAGTGGAAATTTGCCTGTGCAAACATGGCAGCCAAATAAGAAAAGGAAGCTTATGCTTGCCATTGTGTTTATTTTGAGTAAGGTAAACACTTTAGTTACCAAGCTATCTCACCAGATGTTTTTATTTCTGAAGACTGAAAAGAATGAATGCACTCTTAAAGGGCTTAAGCCTCATGGGTTTTAATTGAATGCTTTTAGTTTGTTTTATAAGATAGAAACAATTCAGATTTTAGACTGTCATTAAGTGATACATAAGCAGTACCTAGAAGCTGACTGTCCTTCAACGTTTATGTGAGAGCAAACTTAGGCAAAACTTTTGAATCTCACTTTACAGTTTGTTTTAGCAAAACTTTTGTATTATGTAGATCTTCTGATGGAAAGACTACTATTCCTTGATTTGGTGGTTAGTTTTGTTATTGTCTGTGGAGCACATAGGACCTATCTGGTCTAGTTACAGTCTTGTTTTGATTTCTGCTTTAGTACTAGTTAAACATGGCATACAAGAATATTCTTGGTTTTTGCATATCTGCGATCGTACAGTACTGAATGACTAGGAGGTACTAATACAGTCTTTCGTACTGGAAATACTAGTAGAGAGGGATGTTTGCTGCTTTGTTTAGCTTATTGGCTTCCTATATAAAGAATTGTCACAATAGCTTTTTTTAAGATAAGTTTCTAATTGTAATTGCCTTTTCTTTGGCAAAACTTATCTCTTTTCTTTAGTGAATCTAGGTTGACAAGTGCACCTTTGCAAAATGTTATGGAAGGCAATTCTCAATCTTTACTTATATTTAGCAACACAAATATAGCTTAGATTATATAGCTTCATCTTGTCTTAAATTATAAGGTTTGGTTTTTCCTAGTACAGTGTTTATGAAGCCTTTTGCTGTTATGCAGTAAAGTTCTTAGTTGTATCCTCCCTTGTCATATCTCTATTGTTCTTAAAACTATGAATTCTTTATTCTGAAATACTCTCTGAATAATTTTTTTCCTTTTACTTTCTTCTGGTCTTTCATATTGAATACATTTAGGGAGATGGAGGTGAAAACATGAGCTTGAAAAAATCATTTCCTTACTTGGGAATCACCTACTCAAAATGCTTATGCTCCATCTACTGTCATACTAGTTGACTTGTTTTGCTTCAGCGTTTTTTGCATTTTCTCAGTGATGAATTTTACTTGAAAGTCAGTGTCTAACAGAAGCTTATTTCAGTAGTGAGAGAGTGTGTTCATGTTTGTAGAGATTGCTTCAGCTTTCCTGTAGGTGAAGAATGGAGGAGGTGAAGAGGGAGAGTGAATGATTCTGTGAACTGAGTCAATTGTGTATTGGGCCAGTGGTACCCAGCAGTGAATTTATAGACCAGAAGTTCTGGTGCAGTAGCTGAACCTACAGCTCAAAGTGTGTGACTGACAATTCTGACCACCTGGAAACATAGTGGAAAGGCACACATCTTTATATGGGGTTGTAATAGGCTAATATTTAGGGAGTAGGTATGTTTTTTGGGATGGCTTTGTTGGTTTGGGCTTTGTTTGATTTTTCTGGAGGGTGGGCAGTCATAAGATACGAACACTTAAAAGGTTGTCAAAATCTTGGTAAATCTACACATAAAATTTGTGAGCCACTCTTTGAACTAACTGCTTACAGGCTTGTTTGTTTGTTTTTTTTCCCCAACTGATACAGGTGGAATCAAGAGACACTTTAAACAGTATTGCCTTGAAATTTGATACAACACCCAATGAACTGGTTCAATTAAATAAGCTTTTCTCCAGAGCAGTCGTTCCTGGACAGGTACTATTACATTATGTATGTTACTTACCCAACAAAGACCTCTTTCCCTATATTTCTCATCTCTACCAGAGAAAGTGTTAAAGAACTTCTCTTACTGGTTTTCCTGTTGACTTTGCAAAAGAGTTTTTCTGTTTCCTCTAACTTGTGAATTCTTTCTACTTATTAAAAAACTGCCTAAAAAGGGAACAGGTAACAAAGCTACTTGTCTCACTTGAATAAGATCAAAGGACTTTTCAAACTAGATATACTTAATTGTATAATAACACTTGTGTACAAGCTAAACTGTTGCTTTGCAAATACAGCAGGCTGTTCACCAACTGTAGCTCAGGAGGCATATTCAGGGTACAGCTTACAAACAGTGTTCCATGACTGCATCTTACTGCCTGCAGTTCTATTTTAATAAATTGAATAATGTTTCTATTCCACTCTGAAAACTTGCTGTCTTTACCAGCAGTATATGAATTATCAGTCACATAGGTTGCTATTGCTTTTTTTTCCCCCGTTTCTGCCTTCACTTTTCATTTCTCCTTGAAAACTGGGCCTGGAAACATAAGTCAGCTATGGAATTAACCATTTGCAATTTGGTATTAGCCCTCTGTTTGACAAAATCCTGTGTTTATTTCTGATTGCTACAGAACTCTATCTAGGTAGCTTGAATGCCTACCATGGCTGAAATAAGGTATCAAAGGTGTGACTAACTTAGGGTGATTTTTTTTTTTTTTTTTTAAAAAACATTCAGTGCTAAGAGCTATATTTAATGAACTTGTTTCCCAGTCTGTTTCTTGTTGCTCAAATAGTGGAGTAATAGAAAGATAAATAATTGGACAGGTCTTCCTTGGACACTTATTGGGTGTTTCTGGCATGCTGTATACTTTCAATGCTTTCTGTCTGAAGTTTGTCCTCAATTATTATGACTGAAAATCAAAGTTATATCAAGATAGAATTAAAGAACTTGAAAAGCTAAAATGAAGAAGTACTTCATGTGGTATTGTTTATTCCCTCAGCTCATAATTCTGTTAAAAGTAATGAGAGCAGGAATGGTTTGTGTAGCTTACTTTGAGAAAGCCTAGCAAATATACCTGAACTGCTGGGAAATCTAAAGTAAATCTGAAAGCATATCTAACTTCTAACTACATTATATCTTCTTTATAGATTTTGTATGTTCCTGACCCAGACTACATTTCTAGTGTGGACAGCTCCCCCTCTCTAAGTCCTATAAGTCCCCTATCACCTACATCTTCCGAAGCAGAGCTTGACAAGGCTACAGTAAATGTAGGTATACCTGTTATACTTGAAATTAATTTACCCTTACAAGATAAATGTTACAGATGCTATGCTTTCTTCTTAAACTGTCCTTTGGTTTTGGGGAGAAAGTACTTAACAACATTTGGAGTTAAAAGTAAAATAGTACCTTTTTAAAAGTAAATACAAGCTTTTAGTCTTGAAATGACAGTTTTCTGTGTGAAAACTGATTTGAGGGCAAGTTGTTTGTAGCAAAATATTGTCCTTGCACACTGAAATCTTAATTAGTTTCTGTTGCATTTCTGTATTTGTTACATCTCAAAGCTAGTTAAAGGCTTTTGATTGTATTTCCCCTTCACTGAAACAGACTTTTTTTTGTTTCAATTTGCTAAATGAAACTAGAAAACCCTCTCCCACATCTCTACAGCAGGAGGAACCTGAGTATTCTGGCCAATATATTGTTTCTACAAAAACTAAGTTGATTATAGCTGACTTCTGCTTAGTAGTTCTACCTTTGTAGACTTTCAAAATACTGAAATTGTTTAGCCATCAGAGCTGCCCTGTAATTCAGCTCAAAAGCAGATTTTTGGGTAGGAGCTAGCTTTGTAGAAGCATGTCTTTCCAGTAATACTGGTTTGCTGTCAACAGAATTCCATGGGGAACAGTCCAGCCAGGAAGATGCAATATTGGAGCCTGAGCTTCTGTGTAATTCATGCAATTACGACCTTAATCAAATGTTTCTTAATACATCACTGCTATTACTTTCCCAGTTATCTTTTTCTCTCAAATAACAAATTTTCTTGATAGCATATTTTGATAGTGCTCAGTCCAACTGTCAAATGTGTACTCCAGGGTTCTGTGTGCTCAAAGTTTAGGAACGTTTAAGACTTAAAGTATTTATTTATGTGCTTGTGTGACTTGGTCGGTCCAGACAAGTTTAAATTTAAATGTTTTACTTTGTTGCTGGAGAGGTTCTCAAGCTGCATTACAAAGGCTGTGATGAGCCTTCTACTGAAAATTACTGTTTGGTTTTACTGTTGTGCTTTTGCTCTGACCTAGTATGCCCGTTCTCATATCTGCTGCCGTTAGTGCTGAATAATTTCTGTTGTTTTATGGCAGACTGGAGGTGTTGTAGCACAGTAAGTAGACTAGTCTGCAAGAATACACTTTTGTATCATATATCTTGTGTCTATATCTGTCTCAAAATGACTGTAGATGCTACGATACACCTGCCCTTATAGCATATGTTGTGTCAAGTTACTAGAGAGAAAATTATTAGCTTTACTATTAGAAATTAGAGCTTTTTCTACAGTTCATCAGATGCTGTGTCAAAAACCCCCTTATTCTTGTTTTTGTCAATTATTTTGTATATACTTGTTGGCAAATAGTAGATATGGAGGCTTAATAGCATAACTATACCTGTAATTTATTTGACACTTTTTTTATTGGCTATATGCACATAGCAGAGATAAAAGTTAAAAGTGTAGAAGAAACAAAGTAGACAAAAATACTTAAAAATCTCTTCTGCAAAACATTGGGGTTTTTATTGTCCAATGTTAGCAACAATTTGAGAGTTAAGTTTCATTTAATTGAACTTTATTATTGCAGAACTGTTTTGTGCATCTTGTTATGTGTTGTGGATCATTACAAGCAGTTCTTAAATGCTTCAGGGAAAGTCAAACGAGCAATGTGATGATATATAATAAAGTGCTTGTTCTGTTTCTGAGGCTTTTCAATCTACATGTAAGGAAGGAGGGAATATTTATCAAAAGAAATCAGAACAGAAATCACTTGCATTTGTCAGTGTGGACTCTGTGTGTATTTGGTTTTGTTTCTCAAACAGTCTCTCCAGCAACACAAAAGGCACTCAACTTCTGTGTGGCCTGTTAAGGCTGAAGGGTTTTGTTCTTCATCATACTACCTATCTTTCATGTTTTTCTTTTCTCTTTGCTGATTTCTATCACTATGAACGAGATAAATACTAGCATACATTCTCTAGTGCTCTCTTGATGTCAGTCTTCTTTGACTCTCCTCCAATTTTGACTCTAGATTTGCAGTTTAAATTTAATCACATTTTGAAGTAAAGAGAATATGTTCCTCTGCCTGTATAATGTAAATGAGTCTTCTCTCTGTGCTCTGGTTTTTGAATCACTGAGTTCTTGGTAGATAAGATGATTAACAAATATCTGAACTTCTGAGTCAAAAACTATGCTATGGTATACTCTGTTCTTTTATTTCTGTTTTAATAAACTTTGGAGTAGCTTCACACAACCAAGTGGCTAAAGACAAATCAGCATGTGGCTGATATAATCTGCATAACCCTGTTAAAGTTGGGGTCTTTTGAGGTTTTGTATTTTTGGTTTTTTTGGGTTTTTTGGATTTTTTTGTTTTGTTTTTTTTTTTACATTGCTACACTTAAGCTAAGATATCAGTGTGTATTTCACTAACTTTGTTACTGTATGTGTAAGAACTAGCTTAGGCTTTTAAGCCTTTCTTATGCTGCTGGGCTTTTGAAGGATCTCTTCATTCAACAGTCTGCACATATTTGAGAAGATCTAATATGCTTTGTTACCTATAAAGCTTAAAATCCACTTCAAAATAATATGTAATGATAAGGGCATCATCATTAAATTGGAAAGTCTACCACCTGTATTATTCCTGCTTCTGTGTCATGTGGCAATAAGATGAGAAATAGCTGACTTAGTCACTGTGAGCTTGGAGATCAGCTGAGGACTCTCACAGCTACTTGCTGAGTTATGTGTCATGAAGGTGTCCACATAGGCTTTACTAGAAAAGCTTATGTAGAAGGAGAACTTATCTCCAGGAGGTTTGTTTCTTATTATACCTTCCTTAGCTTTTTCAGCAAAATTCAGTTCAGTGGTCTACAGGGTGTTTTGGGTTTTTTGTTTGCTTTTTTTAACAAAAGTTGAAAGATGCAGGCAAAGGCTAAAGTAGTGCCAGAGAATGTACTGAAAACAGTTGTGCATAATGTTCCTGGATATGATTAAAGGCATTTAGCTGCAGTCTGTACTAGTGAATAGAACTGTACAGGAAAGCAGAAAACCAAAGGGAACATAGAAGTTGACATTTTTTAAAAATAGTAATATTAATAACTAGCAGTAGCAATTGTGTATAAAATGGAAGCCTTTAAACATGGGTGAAGCTCTAAAACAGGGTTACTGTGTGTATAACATAGGCTTTGGTGCAGTCTCCTATATGTGTATCTTTTTATTTGAGACAATTTTTTTCACTGTCTGTCTTGTCACTGGTAGGGTTTCATGTTCACTACTTAGTTCGATATACTGGTATGCAGCAAGGAGCATAACTCTTAGGAGGTCATGAGAGAATTCCTCTGAAACTTACATCCAGGTGTGTGAATGATAAAGATGGTGGGAAACAGGGTGAATGTACTAAGGCTTATATCATGCCTGACAAAAGTGATTGCTTTCTGTGATGAGATGGTAGGCTCAGCAGCTGAGGGAAGAGCAGTGCGTGTTTCTTACCCTGACTATAGCCAGGCCTATGACACTGTCCCAAAGCAGCCTTGTTACTGGGGAAATGTGAACTGAGTAGATGGAGTAAAAGATGGGCTGGAAAAATTGCCAGGATCTTTGTGTTCAAACTTATTCAATACATGTGTGAGATTGTTTGTTTGTCTATTTTTTATGGAATCATAGTATGGTTTGGGTTGGAAGGGACCTTAAAGATCATGTAGCTCCAACTCCCCTGCCATGAGCAGGGATATCTTCCACTAGATCAAGTTACATACAGCCTGGTCTCGAACACTGTTTTCTGTGGTGAATCCTTGAGGGTCCCTATTGGGGTGATACAGTTCATAATCTGTCTATCAGGGACCCTGACTGGTGGGACAGGTCACAATGCACTGTCAACAAGCTTGGTGGTGGTGAGCAAAAATTAAGGAAGTGGTCAATACAGTGGAGGGAGGCACAAGGACTGCTCATCAGGGACATCAAGATTCTGGAGAGATGAAGTAACAGAAACCTCATGAAGTTCAACAGTAGCTAAGACCTGTCTGGGACAGGGGAGAGCCCTATGTAACAGTACAGGGTTGGCTACCTACATAGCAGCTTTGCAGAGAAACTAAGGGCCGAGGAGAGATTGAGACTAGTGTCCTGGTGGAGATGTTGGACAATGTCTACTTGTGATGATGATGTCTGATCACATGCCAAGTGGCAGGTGAAAGAGGGATATCAACAGGTTGAGGCAAGGGTGGCTTGTGAAACTGCATTTGCAGTATTGTGTCCACTTCTGGCACCTTCAGTGCAAGACAAAGATTGACATGATGGAGCTAGTGCAGTGGAGGGCCATTAAGATGATCAGGGAATGGAAACACATGAGGCACAAGGACTGGCTGAGGTGTGGGTTTTTTGTTTGGTTGGTTTTTTAATTTTTTTTTCTTTTTTGGGGGGGGTTGCCGGAGAAGAAAATACTGATGGAAAACTGGATTTCTCTGTTGTACTACCTAGTAGACAGGTCAGAGTGAGAAGAGTGAAGGTCTTCAGAAGTTCATAAATGATGGACTGCAACAGCTGTAAGTTGCTGCACAAGAAGTCCTGGTTAAATAACAGGAGAATACTTTTCACAATGAGGGTGGCTAAACACTGGAGCAAGCTTCTTGGAAAGGCTGTGGAATTTTCAGCCTTAAAGATTTCAACTCAACTGGAAGAGCCATGAACAGCATGATCATGAGCATGTAGGTTTAGGCCTGCTTTGGCAACAGGGTTAGACTAGCTGACCTTCCAACTTAAAGTAGTGTATAATATTATGGAAGGACATTTAATAGGACTTCTGTTGAAGTTGGAAAAGAATCCTTTCTGCTATCTTCAGTTCAGATTTTTCATGTGACAGAATATTGTATGATCTCCTTATGTGTTTTGATCATTATTTTGTTGTTTTTTCCTAGGTTGATTCTGATTATCTGTGCCCAGGTGTATTTTTTTGTCAGGGGCTAGTAGAGCTGTGCTTCATTAGTTGTAGTCCTTTGGATCAAAGCAGTCTAAGCTGGAGTGGATTTGGAACCCTATTTTTACATTTGTTTTCACATCAAAGAAAAACAAAAATTACACAACAGAAAATCTCTAAAAGTTAATATTTAAACAGATAAGTTGCTAAGTTCTGGTTTTTTTATATTTCCTTTTAGGATTCAGATGGAGTCCAACAGAAAGAGTCAGCTGCTTCACCAGCACATCCATGTGTTCGTCCTACGAGAGTGGTATCATCCACGTCCGAAGAGGAGGAAGCGTTTACAGAGAAATTTCTAAAAATTAATTGCAAATACATCACTAATGGCAAGGTACTGAAACCTTCAGATGTTACTGTATGGGATATAACAATAAAGCACATTTAAATCATAAACCATACAGTAAAATTTAGTCAGAGATAGGTAGATGAATCATCTGCCTATGTGCTATATATGTCTATATAAATATATTTCTTTTTACTCCCTGTTTTCTTGGGATTCCCCAGGCCACTTGTTTCAAGACATGATGCAAGCAGTCGATATGTGACAAACTTCCCTGATGACATACTGTTACATAATTCTTTTGAGGGCTTGAGGTTCTGTTTTGTTCCTTATGTTAGTATCTCTAGTAATGAATTCTTTTTACTTACAGTGGAGAAGGACATGCCTTATGGTATAAGGAAATATGTAGTTGTGTAGCTTTGCTTTAATTTTTAATTTTAAAGCAGAATAGGGTGAGGAGAATAAACCTCTGATTCTGTGAACAAGCAATTCTGTATTGTTCTCCACTGGATACAGTATGGTAAAAAATCTTGATTTTTTTTTTAATTTTTTTTTCCTTTGAAGGAGTAGTTAGAATTCTCTCAGTAGTGTCATTACACAAATGTCTCCAAATTAGTGGCATTTAATTCACCTCCATTTGGCTCATAAGTGCACAAGTTTTGCACAGACTTCTAGAGACTGAGACTGTCAAAAGACTTTACTTCAGAACATTTTACAGAAAAATCAATCTTTGCTCTCCTACCCCACAGAAAAATTACTATTGGACACTATTTATGAAAAATCATGCACTACTTTCTCCTTTGCCTGAAAGTTTGGATATGTATATAGACATACTGCTGATTCTGTGTTGCTCAGCAATAGATTTTCAGATCAGCTACTGATAAACAGATTAATAAGAATCTCCTAAAACCACTTTTTTGGGGTTTTTTGGCTGATGAAAAGGGTCGCAGATCTATGTGTGTATGGGCTTGAAGCCTATTGACAGAAGTTGTGTTAGAAGTCGATGAGGCAAGTACCGGAACAGCTTTCTTTGTTACATTGTTCTTCTTTGCAGTTAGTTTTCTTCATTCCTGGCATCCTGTCTTTAGCTGATGTTTTTTAGGTTCATCGGAGGCACATCTTTACTCATCAGTTTTAGGTGCTGTGATGGAGTGGAAATGAGGCCCATGAGCCTTTGTTTAGAAATTGGCTGTGCTGGAAAAATATAATCTAGGGTTAAAATTTACATATATTATTTACGTGCTGTATTTTCTCATTAGAATATTACGAAGCATTTGTCTTTGACCTGTGTATGTCTGGCCTATTTTCTATGAGCTTGAAGTAGAATTCTGTTTCTAAAGAGTTGTATAATCCGTCGCAGTATCAGTCCATACGTGGGAGAGAAATGAGTATGAACTTGCTCAGATTTGAGTGCCAGGTTTTGAAAATTTAGCATGTAATTTAACCTTTGTCACATGTGGTAGAAATGTCCTCTGGAGTGTTGTCTTATCCTGTCCTTGATAAGTTTTCTGATGATGCAGGATGATAAATTTTCAAAGTTTGCTAGAGAAAACTTAAAAGATTCATCCTCTACTTCCCACTCTGGAAGTGATTTTGAAACTCCTAATTAACTGTTTTATAGGGCTTCAGTTGTGAGTCTGGCATCACTGTGACTGCTGCTCGTAAACCTAAATCTAGTGAAAGCCTATTTTTCAATGTGTCTAATTATGCAAAGGGGCTTTCGTTAATGTGACTGTCATTTCTCACTGTTATTCTGTATGTGTTTGCAGTTGCTTTTAGTTACACCTGTGACTTCCTGGACAACAGAGAGGAATTCTCCAACATGCAGTGGCTGGAACCTGGGAATGTTTGCTCTGTTCATTGCACTTGCTCCTTACTAACTGTTAGAGGCAGGATGTTAAGCACAGTTAGAGACAGGGTCATGTGAATATCCACATTCTGGCTCTAATCTTCCCTTTATAATGATTTTTCAGATTTCTGTCTCAGGTATTGTAGAGGATTTAGAACTACTGTTTTCTTTCCCACATGTAATATATGGGTAGTGAAAGAATAGAATATTTTGATTGGAAGGGACCTACAATGATTATCTAATCCATCTGCCATCAAGGCTATGACCTTGTCTCTTCTGTATCAGATCTATAGAATATTAATAAAATTCCACTTTCATGTGTGGTCATTAATAAAAGAACTCAGATATAGAAATGCTGCTGCTTTTTTTTTTGATTATGTACTGAATCTACAGAAGTAATATTTGTTTAAAGAGAAGCAGTTGCTCTTCTGAGAGGAACTGACTTTTACAGTCATGTTAAATTTGTTTTCTAGACTACAGTGGATGTAACAAAATGTTGGCTTCTCTCGACAGTCCTCCTCTTGGGAGGTCCTTTTTGCACCTTGAAAGTCTATTTTGCACCTTGAAAGTGCTGGGAAAGAAATACCAGTGACAATTTTTTTCAGTATCTTGGAATTAGGTAAATACATTCTGCTGACTTTAAAGTCTTTGGTATATATGTTGGACTCTAAAAGACACACGTAAAACCTGACTAGGCACTGAACTACTAAAAGGAATCACATCTAGATGCTGGAGCTGCTTCTGAAACTCTTTTCCTTTCTCCGTACTAATGGCAACTTCATTTTTCTCCTGTGAAGGTTGTCAGCTGTCACCTGAGAACAAATTTCTGGAGTTGGGAAGGATTGTAGCTGTGTTTCATACTGCCCTGATATGTCTTCTTGAAATGAAACTGAAAACAAACAATCCCCCCCAATGTACAATGTTTGTAATAACTGTGAATGTTTTATCAGTAAGCTGAATATTTATTAATTTCCTGATAACTTTCAACAGTACATGAAGTGACTCTTTTCCGATTCTTGCACAAATCTGTCCAGATTTGTAGTCTTTAGGATTCAAGATCTGTAACTGAAGGATCCCTGTCATTCTGCTTAAAGCTAGATTTCCTCCAGTTCATAGTTTTAGCTCAAACTGCTGTTTTAACAGTTAAATGAATTTCTGTAGCAGGCAGGTGATGTTGGTGTTGGCATGTGTTTCTAACACTTTTGTTTAAAAAAAGTTCAACATATTGTAAATTACCTTTGTTTTTACAGCTGGATTGTGTAAGAATGCTCCAGTTCATAATATGAATAGCAACGTTAAAATTTTTCATACTCAAAGTTTAAAATCTACTTCATGTACTGCAGCAGTATCATTGTGATTAAATTCATCCAAAATCGCATCTTTAAAAGTCTTTAGTGCTTTTTATTCTATTTCCATTCTGTAAACATATTTGTCCAATCAGTTAACAGGTCCATTAAGTTAGAATGACTTGTATTGGCTACTGTGTTATTTTTGTGTAAAGAAAACAAAGATAAATGGCAGTTTTTGAAGGTCTCTCTTTTTTTGTTCTCTGATTAAATAGCAGAAAGTGAGAAGAGTTAAGAGTCAAGTTTTAGATGATGCTTGAAATTGCTTGCAGACCTACCAGTTAAGCCCTGTGGTTATCTGGGAAGGATGTCTCCTTACCCTCAGAGGAGCTGTTTAGTGTATTCTTTAGGGTGCAAGGGTTTCTTATTTTACTAAAACCAGTTATTGATTAGTTGCGAGGAACAAAACTTTTCTCTGGGGAAAATAGGAGACATTAATTTGCTTCCTCAGAAAAAGTTACATTTCTACATGACTGCAAAACATAAGAAAGTGTATCAGGTTACCTACATTTAAAGATGCTTAAAAAAAAAAAGAACATACCTTTTTCCTACCAAAAAGATAGAGAAGAAGCTGAAATATGAAGGAGAAAAATTACCACTTCTTTTCCCTCTCATTTTAGGGTACGGTCAATGGTGTGCTGCTAGTGACGCCAAATAATATAATGTTTGATCCTCATAAAATGGATCCTCTGGTCCAAGAGAATGGCTGTGAAGAATATGGCATCATGTGTCCAATGGAAGAAGTAATGTCAGCTGCTCTGTATAAGGAAATTGTGGACAGCAAAATTAAGGATTCATTAAGCATGTAAGATAAAATAGTATTTGTAAAGCTTTGAGTAAATTTGAACTGTAGCCATATGTTGGTCATACAAAAGCAGCAAATGAGTGTTTTCCTTGTTTTCTTTGTTAACAAAGAAAATCAAAAGTTGACTTGGAAAGACCCTACAGAAAAGTGCAACATAAAAAGTCTTACGTGTGAATCTTCATTGTTTACCGTTTTTCACTTGCTTCCCAAATCCTTGTTCCTCTGACAAATGGTTATAGACTCATTTTCTAAGATTTGTGTGTGTTTTTATGGGACTAGGAATATATTTATTCCCTTTTGGGCTAGAGGAGGGGCCACATATTCACCTTTAGGTGTAACCTTGTTTGGTGTAAACAACAAATTTGCATCAGTGAGCTAAACTGGTGCTTAGCCTGGCAGGCATTTAAAACCAACTTTAAACAGCATTATTAAAAATCTTCGTTCAGTTCTGTCTGTTGCCTAATTTTTATACTGTTCTCAGAAGTAGGATAAATTCTGTCTTTAAAAACCAAAAAGTATTTAAAAAAATAATCAGGTAAAGGCCCCCTTTTACCTATTTCAGCTCATAAAACACAAACATTTGCATACTACCATGACTATCTACCTTTAACCAAGGTAGAATTGTCTAGGTGTACGAGTGTAAATCTGTTTACTTGATGTGTAGATCTTAAATGCAGCTATTTTAATCAAGGTGTAAAGATATTTAGAACTCTGAAAAATACCATTTTACAGTTCTTATAGGTAATACGCTAAGCACATCTTTCTTGATAATCTTATTACTTCTGGACATCCAGATATTTGAGTTACCTCCTACCATTTTTAAGTTCAGTTTTGGCATAGACCTGGTAGTGAACTGGTGTCTTGGCTGCCTGAAGTCATCTGTGTGTTGAAAGAGCAACTGAAGTACATATTGCTGCAGAAGTACTTTGGGGCTTTTGATACAAAATGGGGATGTCTTCAGCATGATTGCTTTTCTGGAAGTTTATTTTCCAGAATGAGTTTTAAAAAGTTGCTCACAGTTCCTACTTCAGTTGGTGTACAGTGGAAGGAATAAGATAATGAAAATTAGATGACTCCTTTTAACCTACCTGTCTGAATCATAATACTGCAGTTGCAAGACAACTTTTTTCCTAGCATGTTTAGCTTGTTAATGACTTAGTAATTACTTACAAATCTAGCTTCCATGACCTGTTGATTTTTGTGCTCCTGTAGCACATATTTTCTGTTTTGTTTATAATGTGAATTCATATGGAATGAAAACAACATGTCTGTTTAATAAAAGGTCACACTACATTCAGAGCCCTGTATATCCAATTTGATGTATCTTTCATGTCAACTGTATAAACTATTAGATAAAATACTTCTAGCATTTTCTTCAGTCCCAACACCTTTTTACTGTAGCCTCACAAAAAATTTGAGGCATATTTGTAAATTTGAGGGAAAATAAAAATCAAATTTCTCAAGTCTGTAAAAACAGAAGTCCCAACAGCTACAGCTAGATCTGACAAGACCTGTATCTTGAGGTGGTTTAGACTTAAATCATGTTTTCTCACTGTTTTTTTCCTAAATATTCCACTGTTACAATTAACCCTCTTTTCTCCCAATTTTGCCAACTGTCAAACCTGCTTAAATTTGGGAAAACCATCTTAGTATTCAGATTATTGATATGGAAAATGATTGTGAACGCAATGGATTCTTTGGTTCTTAAAACTGCAATTTTGTGTTGTGTGGTTTCTATATGTAAGCCACAATCTGTGCTGAAACTGGACAAAAAAATATCTGACCACATACAGATGTCTTGGGGTTTTCATGAACCTTAGGTTGTGCTTGTATAAGAGCACCTATTACCAGCATAGTCCTGAAAAATCTAGGAAATGGCCCAGTCTAATAGGTAATAAATTCTAAAGTCTAACCTACATGCTTTATAAGCAGAATTACTCCAGCAGCAGCAGCATAATATCGGTTCCACCTTAACACTTAGATAAGAGGGTGCATAAGCTTCTCAAAAACATCCCGAATTTCAGCACTGTCTCGCTAATATGACCTAACTGAATAAAGTTTTGTAGAACAGTAGAGTGAATATATTATCCTTCAAGATACCAGATTAGGATACAAGCTTCTTGGAAGTGTTTAATAATAGGTAATGGAAGAGGTGATGGGCTTGTGATAGCAAGGAAATTGAGAACTCTAGTCAAAATAAATACAAGAATTTATGAAGGTTGTGTACTGCTCATGTTTTTCTTTGGCAACAGGGGAAAAGCTTGAGTTCTGTAGATGTAGTTGAACATGTTCACAGTACCGTTCTAGTTCTCCTCTTCTAAAACTCATAGAATTTCTCATTAGCTCATCTTGAAATGCAGGTTTGAGTAAGACTATTTGCTATGGGGAAAATCAGTTTTTATGCTTGCTTTTTACTTATATTATTTATGACATCTTCAGTTGTACAAGTAGTTGGGGATTTATTTTGCCAAACAATGGTATCTTCAAAGTTAGGTACCTGCTGAAGACCTGTTCTAGCAGAAATGCCATGGGCACAATAGTAACATCTATGTTGATGGTACCTGTTGTTCTGCATTGACTGGCTCAGATAGCTAAGGTTAGACCAGATGACTTCTGCCATTCACTTCTTACCTGTGAGCTAGGTGACAACTTCCTCATAGAGCGGGAGAGATCTGTACAACTATACTGGCCTCTTTGGTAGACAAAACTTAAAAGATTGTGGATGGCTTTTACCTTTAGAGGTTATGGTTGTGTGTAGCTCTTTGTTGTTTTTACTTTGGCGTTTATTTTATTTTTACACTTTTAAGTGTAAAACAATCTAGTTGGTTTTACAGGAGAGCTTGTCCTTGTGTAAGTAGTGTCATGGACTTGGAAAGTTCTAGCGATGTCGTGCTGGCAAAAGGTCTGCTGTGTTTACTGTTACAGTGTTATATTTTATGCTTGTATATTACTAATGCTCTGGATTAAGTTGTGTTTTAGAGTTTGTTTTTTAAGAGCTTAAACTAAACTTAATAAAGAAATGAGCTTGATATAAAAGGTAACTGTTATAGCAACATTCTTATTTGCCCAACAGAGATGTAGAACAGCTGTCAGTAAGAGAACATTGCCATTCCAAGAAATCTGCAAAGAGCAATACAGATGAAATGGATTCCAGGATGCGGGATACAGGCAATGACAGTGCTAGTACTGCCCCAAGGAGCACAGAGGAGTCTCTTTCAGAAGATGTGTTCACAGAATCAGAACTCTCTCCAATACGTGAAGAACTTGTTTCCTCAGATGAGCTTCGACAAGATAAATCTTCTGGAGCATCATCTGAATCTGTCCAAACAATAAACCAGACTAGTGCTGAATGTTTAACAGTCATTTCAGACTCAAATGAAGCTGCCAGTGACTTAAAGCCCAGTGCTGAAATGGCTGTAAGTGTTAAACAGTTTGGTACCCACTTAAGTTCAGAAAGTGCTAAAATGTCTATAAAGGGGGAACGAGAACCTCCTGAAAATACTACAGATGTCCCCCAGCAGTCATTGCAAAGATCACACAGTAGTGAGGAGCATGGCAAAGAGGCAGAAGTTGACAAGGATCAAGGTTCCTCACTAGGAAAAGAACCAGATAATGAGAAGGAAGAGGAATGTCCACCTTGTGAAGATACCACAGACTCTCAAAAGAAAGAGACAGCTAACAAAGGAAAAGTAGTGGGAGAGCAAACTCAACACTCGGAGACAGAAGTTGAAGAACTCCGCAAGCTCTGGAAGACCCACACTATGCAACAAACAAAACAACAAAGAGAAAACGTGCAACAGGATTCACAAAAAGAAATTAGTCAGAAAACTGTATCTGCAGGAGATGGGCGGTTAGAAGGTGAGTCAATGAGTATTTATGGATACAGTGTTAGCCTTTGGATTGACAAAGTATCACCCTACAGTTCAATAGAATTTTTGCTCTTTGTTTTCATTCTGTGTGACACATCTCCCCATGTATCAGTTATGTTTTTCGTTAGCTTGAAGATACACCAAAGCTAAACGACCTAAAGTAGTGGAGAAAATATTGCTCAGGAAACTGAAAACACAGATAACTTTGTTACTGTAACTTTTCCTCATTGAAATTGTATTTCTGGTCATACTAAATCACAGTATCTTTCTAGGGGAGATTTAAACAAACCTATAAAATCAGGTCTACGATACCTTGGTCACAGTTAAAAATGTTCTTTAGCAATCAGCTAACTTTCACTTAAATTTTGATCACAGTGTACATGTGTGTGAATGAATTTTGGGGACTGAATTGGTTATTTATGGCATGTCTGCCTTGTGATTAAGATTTATGGTGTGAGCAACAAACACCAGAGTCTAACACTGGGTTTGATACTTTAAGTATATTATTTCACTTGCATCTTGTCGTACTTTCATGATGACTAGAACAAGGTTAAACATCCAAAAAACGTTTCTCAAGACAAATAAGAGCTAGATGATAAGAAACTAATGGTATGGATACAGGGAACAACTAGGTTTTATTTCTTGAGTACCTTTTTTCTTCTGCAAAGATCAGGGCCTGGAATTATTAGTTGGAAGTTATCCTGAAGGTCTGTTGAAGTTTTTCATATTGAAAAATGCTGTGCCTTTAAGCAACTTAAATATGCTTCTGTATGTATTTGATTTTGCTTTTTAAAAAAATCATAGGTCACTTTCTGATGCCTTGCTATCTTACTAATGGAGATAAATAAAGTAGTTGTTTTAATTGTGCAATATTTTGGGGGCTAGAAAAAAAATCTGTTTGTATGTGATAGGCATTAAAGATATGTGATGTGCATTTGAAGGTCAAATTTTTTATGTTAATAATTAAAAGTCAAAATTATATTTAATAGAAAGGTACACTCTTTGGTTGATAGAAGTTTGTCTTACACTTCAGAATCTGGTATAATAGTTTTTGTTGGTTTTGTCTTCATTTCGGTTTTTTTTTTCTCCTGTTAAGGAAGTACTGAATTTTGAAATTTGAAGCAGATGAATTGTTACATCATTCTGTAATAAGTTTGACTTTTATGCCTTAAATATTAAAAGTAGTCTTCTGACAAATATGTCAGCTAGCAGCAGTTGCTGATTGTGACTTATAAGAAATGCAGGTACTAAGTGTTCTTTGCTGCAATTGCTGCTTTTCTTACAATTGAATATTATTTGTAATTTGGTTGCATTAAATGCTTTAGTTTTGGTTTTCTGAAATACTTTATCATAATAACTGCAGGTTTTTCATGTGTTATGTGATCTGTACACTCACGGAGTATATACACGGATAACCCAATAGTGTCTGCATACAGTCTCACAGAAGAGTGCTAGAAGGCTGCACATGGTGTTACAGCCTCACTCAAGTTTGAGGGGGTAAAATAGAAAGAAAAAAATTAAAAAAACAAAGGTTCCTTTTTGGAGATTTATACCAATTACTTCAGTTCAACTTCAGTAGGAATTATTACATGTTTGTTATTTTTGCATGCTGTATTAGCAGAATGCAAATAAACCAGTAAATTAAGAATTAATACTTTGCAAGCTAGATAGATTTGGTGAAGCTTCTACAAGTACAATTAAATAGAACCGAGGTAAAAGCATAGATCTGCTCTTTAACTCTTGAAAGCCATCAGACTAAATATGAGAGATCTATTAACAGTAGGACACTCAAAATACTAGGTCATTTAAAATTTGAAATACCATAAACACAGTCAGAATAAAACTCTGAAGTAGTCATACTCTGAGTTTTGGATCATGAAGTTACCTAGACAGTCTTTTAATTTCTTTTATACAACAAGGACTTCATTGATTATTTTTTTTTTTTCTTCTGTGGGATTTTTGAGCATTTAGGGTTTTGGGAACTACTATTTTTTGATCTTTGCAGAGGTCATATGTTTCTGAGTTTGGAATTAATGATCTATTTCTTCTGAATATTGAACAGATGACACAATGCAAGTAGATAATTGTGAGTAGACTAGAATAACTAAAAAGGTCTCCCTTGTATCTGTTTTTAATTCTTTTATTACCCAGAACTCTGTTATACTCTCCTATTTTTACAGACACTTATGTTAACCTCTGGACTGAAATAAAGCTAGATGTAGTTGGTACTTTAGAGAAACTGTAATGGTCTATAGTTTTCTGTTTGTATAAACAAGCTGAAATACCATTAATGACATGTCTGTGTGCTGCTTAGTCAGCTAAGTATTTGCAGAGATTGAAAGGAAAAACAAGAAGCATGAGACACACAATAGCCATTGCTGAAATCCTTTCTCATTAAGTCTATATCAAATATACAAGAATATATTGGTGAACACACCAAAAAAAAGAGCATCTTAAATAGCTCTTTTGAGACTTAGGGGTAGGCTAAATTGTTTGGTTTTATTCTGTCTGCTAGCTGGAACTGTATCATCCCACTTCTCTGAGCTCAGGGAAGTTATAAACTTCTGTATTTGAAGGACCAAAATACCAGGTATCAGGTCATTTTAGGAGTACTTACCTAACAGTGCCACAAAGTTCATGTGCCAGACCTATGAAACCATCTTTTTGTTTCTTTTTAGTGGTGTTTTTGTTTAATCTGACAATTTACCTTTGAGCATATACATTTATAAAATACTTGCAAATAATGCATGTTATGATTAATTTTCGATACTGTATAAATCAGGTATAATTCTAAAATGTTGACTGAAAATTAGGAGGCGCACATTTAAATAGTTGCTGGGAAAAATATTCTTTTGGGGAGCAATGCTATTCTAAACTCTTTGCTGAAAATCTGATTGAGAAAAGATACAGTAGCAATGTTCATAGATCAAGAAGGTGATGTTTTCTGTGCTTAGTGGATCTCTGGTCTGCATAAAAACTGAAGGAGAATTTCAACTGTAGAGAAAAAATGAGTGTCCTATGAAACTGGAACACAGTCTGTATGTACCTTTAATACCAGAGCTAGGATAAGTCCTTTGTTGTCATAACTGATGATCAGAACTCTTAAATTTACTCTTTCCTTCCTTCCTTTATAAAAATCTCCTTTGGCTGGAGGATTTGGGCAATTGATCTAGTAAAGAAACAATTTTAAGAAGGCTTCTTCCTTTACCTTGTGCTGACTTTACAATCCAGATCTTGAGGGTAATCATATAACTGTATTAGTTTAATTAAATATACTGCTGGAGGGAGAAATCTGTGCTGTAACATCCAGTATACTTCATCCTGAGATGGTGTTCATGCCATTGAGCTGTTTGATATAGCTAATAAGGTAAAATTAATCCTGTATTAGTAGTGTTAGAACTTTTCCTGTTGCAAATGAAAAGTAATGAACAGGTTTGACATGTATGAATCAAGGCAAAGTACATATGTAGAATCGTATCTTTTGCATGTATGTGGTGTATCTGTTTAATAGTGGAAGGGTTGTCTGATTCAGTGATGAGTGGAATGCTTTGAGAATACCTTCTGAATACTTCAAGTCATGGATGAAATACTATCATAATGGGATCTCCAGGAATGAATGTAACAATTGTTGAATGTGTTGTACTCTGAAGTATATTCTGCTGATGCAATTGACATAACAGACAAGTGATTATTACTACTTATATTACCCTGTCTCCCATTACTTGTTTATATGTGTCCTATATACCTGTACTGCCTAATACAAAATTAGTTAGTGATTTGTTAAGCTTTTTTGTACACTGTGGATAAGCTTACTTTTTCTTTATTAACAGGGTCTTCAGCTACAAAAGAGAAAAGACGACATCGATCTCACAAGTTTCTGCTTCTCAGGGTTGGAAAACCCATGAGAAAAACATTTGTTTCTCAAGCAAGTGCATCGATGCAACAGTATGCACAGAGGGACAAAAAACATGAGTACTGGTTTGCTGTTCCTCAAGAAAGGTAAGGAGGTAAACTGTAAAAATCAACACTTTGCAATAGGTCTTTGAGCTTCATTTTTCTGCACCATTCAGAATTTTTCAGTGACTGTGTCTATAAAGCATCACAAAAACAGGTCAGCATCTGAGGATATTGTTGATTTGGTTTGTATTTGCCCCTGGAATACCGCATTACCTTACAGAAATTTTAGTGATATACTTGAGTTACTTGTAGATTCTCCCAGTAGTTTCTCATGGTATTATTTAGGCTTTTGTTTGTAGCAAGTAATTACTGAAAGAAAGATTCAAGTAAGTGAATCTGTGTATGGTGGAGGAAGTGAGTTCTGCAACAAAGTTTTTATTGTCGTTACCTGTGCTTCCCGTTATTTAGAAACTTCCTAAAAATTCTCTCTACTTCTTAGAGCTCTGAGTTCAGAAGAGCTAGCTGGGGCTCTTTTGTCTTATCTTCATATATGGAACATGAAACCTTTCCAGGAAGCAAATTAAGTATGTCTGCTGGAAAAATATCTAAATTTTTTGCACTCAAAGACATGACATGTCTATGCTCACTTGTAAGTCTTGTATTCTGAAATGATCTTTATTAGGAAACTGTGGCTTATTTTCAACTTGAATGTGATTTTTGGGGTTATTACATCCTTGACAAAGAGTGGGGGGAAAAGAAAGAAACAAAAAGCTATCATCTTGTATAAATACTTACTCACAATGATGAAGTCACTTTTCCATCTTTTCTTTTGAGCTGGATGGCATAGAATGTCCAGTTGAGGCACTGCAGTTGAGGACAGATATGGATCAGTTGGAAAGAGCCAGAGGAAAACAGCAAGACTAATTAATGCCTAGAAAGTGTAACATATAAAGAAAATTAGAAGTAAGTGGGGTTCTTTAATCTAAAGGAGAAAAGGTTGATTACAAACATAATCATTTCATACTTAAGTTGGTTGCAACAAGAAAGGCAGTAGTCTTTTTTTCATGTCCTCTGTGAACAGAAATGTGTAGTGGACTGAAGTTACATCAAAGTATTCGAGTTATCCAACAGGTAGAATTGAGTCTACGCTAGTACATCACTAGTCCACTTTTAAACATCACTCCTGCTTCCTCTTAAGTGGAGGAGATGATGCAAATTCTTGAGTCAAATGTCTTGTCGCACTAATTCTGGTGTAGTTAATCCTGTCTGGGCCAAGTATCCTCTTGTCATTACAGTCAACTCAAATTTACTTGTTCTATCAGTGTCATATTTAATTTGAAAACTGATAAATGTTTCACATATGACAATGATGTCTAGCTCAGTTGATTAAAACGTTTATTGTCTCTGGTTCATTTTCTAATGTAGCAGAGCAAGTACTTACCTTCAGCATAAGGCAGAGTTTATTACCTGTTTTGGAAGATGGTTCTTAGTTTGCAGTCGGTATCTGATCTTGGAAATTACTCCACCTGTAAAAGGTCTCTCTCTAATTGCATGGAGAGTATAGTACCAGTTCTTTATTAATTTATTGTGTCCTGTGTTTTTTGTACACAAAAAGTCACATGTCCTCATATTGGGTTGTTTGTTTTCTTAATTTGGTGTTAACCTTGATGAATGCTACTGTGCGCAGGTAAAAACATTTTAGTGTCAATCCAGTTGCCTTCTTCACCTAGTGGTAGGAGAGAAAAGTCAGTATCTGACAACCTGCATTATTTCAGTGTTCTTAATGTCAAATGAGCTAGTCTGGGAAGAAGCGTTTAAGAGTTCCTTAAGCATCAAGCTTTGTGGGCCTTTATTTTTAGCTGCTGTAATTATACACAATTCCAAGTTCTTGAGAAGTGCTATGACATCTTAAAATTTTTACCTCATTCAGTGCATGAGGAGTCTGCATCTTCTTGTTTTGACTTCTGTAAAAGAATTTATCTAACTTCATGCATCTGAAATATTTTACACTCTCTTACTGCTAGAGAATTTTTTTTTTTTCCTTTCATCAGTGTTGTCCAGGAACCTTAATTTTAACAAGGGTAACTGATTAACTGACCCTAGTTAGAGACTCTTACTACACACCTGTGTGCAGCATCCCTTTAGGCAGAGGCACATGAAAAACAAAACTGCAGTTTTTTGCAGAGATACTGCTCTGCATCTCTTGGTATTCTTCCACTATTCAGTTTTGCAAGGATTTAGTAAGGGGGGGGGGGGCAGAATGTTCAAATATTGTTCTTTAGGCTAATCCAGTATGCAGATTGACTGTAGTCAATATCTTTGAAGAGAAACATAAGGAATAGTCAAATTCTTGTAACCAGAGCCATAAAGCTCTAACTCTGAGTCTCTTTTCCACGATGAAGAGATACTGGTGGATTTGTTGCGGGTCCTTTTTCTTAGTATTCTGTCTGTGCACCTACAGGAAATATTTAAACAGTACAAACTGACATCTAGTAGGATTGCAAATAACTTTCTTCTGTGAATTTGGGCATTTTACTCTTCCAAACTGGAAAACCATGCCATTTGTGGCAGGTAACTTAAAAGGAGGTAATTTTGAATCGTGGTACTTAATGCAGTCAGAGTAGTCTGCATGCTTTCAGTCTTATTCCCTCATGTCTGTAGTAATTCTCATAATCTGTATAATTTTGGTTATATGTCTTGGGAACGTTCATCTCTTCTTCAGGAGTAGGGAAAACAGACATGCAGGCATCTTTAAATTCCAATTTTGTTTGTTCTTATGTAACTCTTTTTAACTTAAAAAAAAAATTCTTGGTGTTTTATTTTGGAAGTTGTTTCAGTTGTAAGCAGAGGTTTCCAACGGGACAGAAGTGGTTGAAACCTGTACTTGAATATGAAATCACGGTTACTACATTACCAAATTGCTTCCCGTTTTTCCTCCAGTGTCAGTTTCATATAATTAAAAAGAAAAAAAAAGAGCTAACTAGTTCTTTTCAAATATATCTCTAATACCTAGTGAAACATGAAATAGTAAGTATTTTCATTTTAACCTTAAATACTTCATGTTATTAGACAGGATCCAAACGATCACAGAACTTATCTTTCTTCTCCGTATCATTATTTGACTTCTCTAGGACAGATCACTTGTATGTCTTCTTTATCCAGTGGAGTCCAGAGATATATGCAGAAGATACTGGGGAGTCTCTTCGGGAACCTGGATTTATAGTAGTGAAAAAGAAGGAAGAGCCTGAAACTAGTGAAGAATCTACTACTGAAGATGCTGCTAAAGAGTGGGAGGTAAGGAAGAACAGTGTCAAATATTATTTTAATATATTCCAATGAAAGTATTAAAAAAGATAGTGTTAAATACTTTCCGAGAAGAAAAACAAAAGCAGTGTACTATATTAGTCTGATTACTGTGATCATGACTGTTTAATTTATGCCATCCTAATGCTTTGCTCTAACATCAAGTCAGGGCAACATTTCACAATTGCAAGTCATTTTTGCATGAAGCAAATTGTAACTTAAAACTCCAAGTGAAAAGAATGTGAGTATAGCAAAGAAGTTGCAATTTTGATGAAGCAGACATAATATTCAGTCTAGTAAACTGACAGTTTTCTGATACTTATTATTGTATCTAGAATGTTCAGTATTTATTGGTAAGACTGAAAAAAAGGGATGGAGCAGCATAAAAGGAAAGGAACATCTATTAATGACTTGTTTCAATAATTCACTAATTAATTTTTCACTTTTAACTTCTTCGTGCATTAAGACACTGTTGAATGAACTTTAAAAATAAATTGTAACTGGAACTGTCTCAACTTTTTTTATAACAAACACATTTCTCTCATGTGAATCTGTGTCCACTGTGCTTCTATGGACACATCTTTACATGTCTACATGGTTTTGTTTTGTAGTGTACATACAGTTAAAGCACTTGTAGTCTTGTGCCTTCAAGTCTTGGTCAAAAGTTTGATGATTCTTGTCATATATATATATATATTGTGGAAGTATCCCATCAGCACTGTTTGAGTCTCAGGACAGCAATTGCCATCTCTGTAGACTGATCTTCTGTTTTTTCTTCCCCCTACCCCCACCCTGCAATGGAGCACATTGAAATTAAGGAAGTCTACACTTATATTTTATGTAGAGGGTAAAAGAAATTTTAAAGAACTGCAGTAGTCTTAACTACAGGTAGTAGTTTTCTTCTTAGCTCCAAAATGTAGAATCTTAGAACTCTGACTTCCAGCTTACTTACGTGAAGTATTAGACTGTGGCTACAAAACACTCTCTGCAGCTCAGTGATTTTGCAGGAACCATATTTGCTTTCAGACATGGAAATTAGTATCATAAGAATATGTCTTCTGAACCTTCATATTTTCAGCATATGTTTTGCTTGAGTACTTTTACCAGCAGTTATTTTGGTGTTGACTCCTGCTCAAAGCCTTTATAAGTGTTTGATGTTTTGAAACTTGGCCTTTTGGAACATGGGGATCAGTGAAAAGTGATCAATATTATGATTTAAAGCACAGTATGTCTTTTTTAATGAGCTCTTCAGTAACTTAGCACCTTAATATAATTACAGAATAATTTTCACAGAAAATAGTGAAAATTTGTGTTCATGATTAAATGTTGTAAGTTTTTAGAAGCTATTTCTGAAGATATTTGAGACAATCCGTTTTCTGCAAGTACTAAAAATCTGTAAGTTATTTACCATAGAATGAAGCCACGGCTTAAACCTTTATTTAGGTCTTCTCTGGAAACAGTTGTAGAAGACATATTTCAAAAATATTGTAATTTCTGTGTTATGTGACATTATGTCAAGGTTGGTTTCTTAATATTATCAAATAATTTCTGGATTTAAAAGTTAGTGTGATTAATGAAATGGTTAACTTGATAAAAAAGATGTTATGCAAATACAAGAAATATGGTAATGTGGTCTTTTGTGCATTTTGACTTGAGTAATGTGACTTCCTCTGACTGATTTCTAGCACAAATCTGAAAGTAAAAACTAACTTTTTAATTGGAAATGTTTGACAGTACGAGATGGTTAAACTTGTCATCACATAAAACTGCATTTAGTGGCTTTTAACATATGCTAGAAAGTATCAGTAAATACAGGACACTGTAACTGTTGTCATAGTCATTACTCCCATTGAATTTCAGTCATTATTTTCAATCAATATACTTCCTTCCTTTAACCCAACGAGCTTTTCCTCTGTCCGTTTTTACTCCAGTGCAATCTAAGCAGGTGAACAGTATAACTGAAACCTTTTTGTAGGTATTGGGCTTGAAAACAACCTGCCTTCTTCAGATCACAGGGATGGGAGAATTGGGGTGGAAGGGAAATGGAAAGCAACATCCTGATGTGCAAATACATCGCAAAGTACTGTTGATCTACCAAAAGACTGAGGTAGTGGAGTATCTTTCTATTCCAGAAAGTGTTCTGCCTGTAATTGTAATCATTGTACAATGTCTTAAAATCAGAGAAACAGGAATGAGGGTTAATGGGTTGTTGTAGAGCCAGGTGGGTGTCAGTCTCTTCTCCCAGGCAACCTGCAGCAGGACAAGAGGAAGACACGGTCTTAAGCTCTGCCAGGGGCAGTTTAGGTTGAATATTAGAAAAAATTTTTTTACAGAGAGAGTAATCAGACATTGGAATGGGCTGTCCAGGGAGGTGATGGATTCACTGTCCCTGGAGGTTCTTAAGATGAGACTGGATGTGGCACTTAGTACCATGGTCTAGTGTTGGATCAAGAGTTGGACTTGATGATCTCAGAGGTCTTTTCCAACTTGGTCAATTCTATGATTCTGTGATTGTCTTGAACTTATGTAAATGGGCTTACACCAAAGAAGAGGGTGTTATGAGTTGTATGGGATTGTTGGGGTTTTTTATGTGGGTGTGTTTTGGTGTTGGTTTTGTGATTCTTTTTTACCATCTGTACTGAGCTATAGACAGAGAGGTATATTTATCATGGTGTTCTTTTTTTATTTGATGTGTCTTGAGTGCAAATGCTAATGGCTTTCTGTATCTGTTAGCACAAATAATGAATAGTAGTTTGTGTTAATAAACAAATGCTTTCTCCAAAGCATATTCCGTACTTGCATCTAAACGTGCAAGTACATGCATGTTTATTGACAACAAGCTGACTCCTTCTGTTGTGCAGTGCCTCAGAAACCACTGCTATCAGTACTTTATGGTCTAATCTTGTTTCCTTTTTTAGTTCAAGTTGTGTATATTGTAGGTTCCTATTGAAACCTGAAATCTGTTAAGGAAACAGATGAATTGCTCTGCACTAGAATAATTCTTATTTAAAGAGTTGAGTCTTCCTTTCCCCTTCCCCCAACTTCTCCCTGTCATTTGATCTCATTTATTGCCATTATTCAAAACTGAGTGATACTTCAGGTCCATGTAAATCTAAATACTCATCCACAAGGTGTTTGAAAACAGGAAATTTGTTGTCTTAGGATCCACAAACTTACAGTAGTCTTAAAGTAGTTGGAAGCGCATCTGTTTTGTTTTCATTATCTTGTTCATTTTTCAGAAAATACAGAAAATTAGTTTGATTTAAAGCTGTCTAGAAGTAAATTTCTGAAATAAAGTATGAGTTGATAGATATTGCAAATAATTTTTTCCAGACACAGTGAGTCGTGTTCTGGACTCGCATTTCATAATAATTACCTTTTGGTTTTGCATATTAAATGTCTGTAGGAAACATAGACATAATACTTCTGGAAAGCAATATTCTATGATAACACTTGTCAAACTGAATTTCAGTTAGAACATTAGATGTGGTTTTAAAATGCTTACTAGATGAGACCATTAGTTGCAAGTGAAGTTCTGCCTTCGTGGAATGGCATTTGACTCAGACACTCAACCTTTCACCACTAACAAAACTAACTTCTGGAGTGTCTCAATTCTATTTCTATGTGTTTGTAGAAATGTGAAGGTCACAAACAGTAATTGTCTCATGGTGAGATAAGCACCTATGTCCAGTATTCCAGTCTTGAAACCTTTTTCAAATATTCTTTATTGGATCTGGACTGTAGCCTATAACATTTCTATATTAAAATAGACATTGAAGTTTTAGAATGCACTGCTGTATTAAGTTTTCTATATTCTTCATCATATTTCTTCTATAAATTTGCTTCTATCCCTACTGTACACTTCAGTGCTGGGATGCTAGTGCAACAGCTGCTTGTTGTGTCTTACATTTTAAAATGTGCTATGAACATAATACTATATAACAAGCTGGATAATACTGAATCAACAGAGCAATGAGAAAGCCTAGAAGTTGGAATGAAACAATGCACAGAATGTATTTAAAGATGCACCATGCTAATAGTCCTCAAAATAAGAATATTTTTCCAGTATGTTTCTTGAAATGTTGTCTCTTTATGATAATATATTGGATATATAAGCTAGTTGGTTATTTGGTTTTTACATTGTGTATTGTCAGTTTAGAAATTGGATGTGTCACTATGCAGATGTTGCTGTGCATTAGCACAGCATGTTTAGTAGGCTTTGCTCTTGTACTGAAGGATGAGTGTCTTGAATTCCAGCAGTCGTGCAATACTAGAAATGTTTCTGTTAATTTGTTGTGATTGAAGAGAGAGACTGGTGTCTATTTACATAATCTAATGCCCTTTGCAGAGATTGGTAACTTTCATTCTTGGTTTTGCAATTACCTTGAGCAATATTGTCTCAACTTCATGCATGGGATATTTCTTGCTTTGCTCTATTTTGTCTCTACTTAATCTGTTTGGAATCTATATATGACTTGTAAGTCAAAATTGAAGGTTCTGATTACTTGGAGCTGTCCTGTAGTTGGAATCATGAATGTGGAATTGTAATGATGGATATTTCATCTATCTAATAGAGAGATTTGGGACAGTCTCTCTGCTAAGAGTTAAAGCAGAACCATTCAGCTAAAAAGCTTGTGCTTTTGAGATTCTTAATGGCTGTCAGCATACCTCTGGAAATACTGAGGAAAACTGTGATGGAAAAATGCTACCTTTTTTTTTTTTCCCTAAGCTGTTGACAGGAAGCAAAGGATGACTTTTCTCAAATTAGACTTCCTTTCTTATGGAAACTTTATCGGCCAGCTACAAAACTGTGCTAGTGCATGTTGTATTGATACCCCTGGAGATAGCTTTTGTAATGTTTAGTGGGTTTTATACCTGTAAGGGGGAAAGCAATCAGATCTCAGCTGTAATCCCATGTTAGCTCCACCTACAACATTACAAAGACCCAGTTGTTCTAGACGACAGAGTAGTAGTTTTTCATAGGAGCCTGT